AAAAATTGAAGGAGTAACAACTGTGTAGATGTTCATCCACAATGAGAATCAGCTGTGGCTGGTTAAACTGCATTGTTAGATTTAAAATATGTTTCAGTAAAATATTGCCGTTGGATTTTGCTGTCTTTTCAAGTTTTGCATTGTGTTATTGTTTTGACCATGAGTTTAACAGTTTTGAAAACAGTATGTAAGCACATGCAAAATGTCCTGTCCGTACAAAGGTTTTTGGCAGTTGTTGTGTCTGAGTGAGAAGATGATTCATGTAATTTGAGAGATGTAGTCATTGAATGCATTTTGTGCCAAAACAATGATAACTGGTCCTCAGTTTAGCCCACATAGACTTCTGTTGTGCTCACTGTGTGAAGAGTTTTGCAAACGTGACCTAAGTATTGAGAAATGTGTCCTAGCGTCTGTAAAAAACTGTAATAAACAAATGAAAAGTACATAAAACTGGTGTTGGACATGTGTCCACTAAGCACTTATTACACTCGGTGCTCGTCAGCTAATCAAACATGTTTTATGTGTCTGTACTACTTAGCTATATTGTGTGCGGAACAATACAACTCACCTCTCGTATGGCTACGGCAGACTGGCAGCGATTACTGCAGCCAGCCTCACCTAACCAGCCACACTGAGAGCGGGGGGGGGGGGGGGGCTGTTTCCCCATTACACTGATATTTGTGGCAAGTGGAATAATACCACAAACACTGTTACACTACCAGAAATTATTTCCACTACTAATTAATTACCGTTGAGCTCAAAGGTCCTATTAATAAACTGTTAATGAATGTGTATTTATGAAGACGATTTGTGAGACTGGTAAACTTATGATACATACAATAGTCTTTCGTCCTACACGGTGCATTTCAAGGTCCTGCACCCATCCGTCGGTAAACTGTACCTGGGCTTGTTGCAGTGACCTGAAGTTACTAAACTTCATGAGTGTGTGCACTCACTCCAAGAACCGTGTAATTATAAATCTGAGCGTGGTGAAAGTTGGCAGCACACTGACGTCTTTTGTCCACTCTGTGTGCTCGTAAGGGTCTGACCCTTTCACTCCTTTGATTTTTTCCTCGTATCTTTTCTTTGTCTTTTCGTCGAGTCTGTCTTTGTACGGACCGGCATTGTTCTCCTTTTGTTTTGTACATTCCTTTTTTGTGCGGCAAAGAAAAAAAAAGAAGGTATTGGAAACGGAGAATGAACGTCTTGCGGTGCTGCAAATGCTTGCATTTGATGCGGTACTTGGATTGTTTTGCCACGAGTTCCCGGCATGCAATGCGCGAAAATCACGTGATTGCTAAACAAGGGGGAGGGTGCATCCAGCCTCCTCGGCTGTAATTGGTCCAGCCCAGAGTCGATCATGACCAATTGGCCAATCCAACACCTTTCATTATATATACCCTTCCTAAAAAAAAAAAATAAATAAATAAATATCCATCGGCCCATAAAAACAAAAATCGCCAGCGGCCCACCGGGCAAATGCCCGGTATGCCCGATGGCCAGTCCAGCCATGCTTACATGTGTGTCTATTTCATATTTTCAGTTGTTACCCTCCACGGCTAAATAAATCGGTTTCAGTAATGCACTGATATACAAGAATGGACATAAGAAGCTTCTTTCAAAGAAAAAACTCTGGTAGTATTTTATATATTATGCTTTGTATGTTGTTCAGTATATTCCTATGCAAAACAAGAGGAACTTCAATACACAGCAGTATATTCACAGTTGAAACCAGATATTTACATACACTTTATGGAAAACACAAGAACATTTTTTTACTGTACAACATCAATTTAGAGTAAACTTGTTTTGTTTTGGATAAATAAATATTGAAATATCTTTTGAATTAGTTAAATGTCAGAATAAAGAGAGACAGAGCTTCCTATTTTTTATCACTTTCATCAAATTTAGGAGTACATGTACACTAAGTTTATTGTTAATTAATAGGAAAACTCCAGACAATTCCATTCTGAGCTGAAGAAGCTTCTGATAGGTTAGTAGAGTCCATGTGAGTAAATTGGTGGCACAGCTGTGGATGCATAAAAGGCAAAACAGAGCCTGTTTCTTTGAAATGGGAAAATTAAGAGATATCAACTAGGGGTGGGTTTTTATAATCGATTTATCGATTAAAATCGATTCTGGCTTGGATAATGTAAAATCGATTCATTAAAATCCTGAATCGATTTTTTAATATAAATTTATTTTGCCCGAAATGCCAGAATCTCTGGTGAAATCTCACAAAATTTCAACAACCACCAAACAGCTAAGACAATAAATGAGAGCAGGAACACAGATTCTGCACAAAGACTTAAACACACAATCAGTTAGATGTGGCCTTTCTCACGGTCGGGGCTGAAAGCCGACAGCTCGCTGATTCTGATCTGTCCGCGCTTTGTGTTCACGCCCTTTATGCGCTGATTCTACAGCTGTTTGATGTCTCTCCAAACAATATTGACCGAACCAGCAGCAAAAGAAGATCCAAACTACGCTTCACATAAACATCGTCATGTATTCACTCTTACTTTTACTGTTTTGCTTCAACCACGATGCACAGCTCTCTCTCTCTCTCCCTCTCTCTCTGTACTTCAAGAACAGTTTCCCGTCTAAAAATCTGTTTTCTTCATTATTCGCTTGCTTGTTACGCACAAGTCTACCGTTGTTTACAGCGCTGTCGGACGACGTTTTTTAAAGTTTTTTTTTATATACTTCCGAAAAGAAAACCTAATTTCTGCCGTTCAATACTGAACAAATTTAAACTTTTTTAAATTATGCAAAACGCTTAGCCGTGTCTCTAATAAAACCGCTGTAACGTCAGAGGTAATGTTCATGTGTTGATTAATGGTTTTCTTTCGTTTTTGATGTACTGCAGAATATTTTTATAAAATCCAGGCCAGGAAAATCGCCTTCATGTTTTTCTGTGTTTTATCCTCAGCTACTTTGACACAAAGGCATCTGCTGTGATGCTCACACCTTTGATAAAGTCTTGCGTGTGTCAGCTTCCTTTTTCTGACTGTCAAAATTTCCCAGATTCAAATTGAATTGAATTGAATCAAATCGAATTAAATCGAATCGTGGATCGAATCGATTCGGGACCTTGTGAATCGGAATTGAATCGATTCTAGAAATCAGTGACAATACCCAGCCCTAAATTTATCAACCAAAACACCAGGAAAAGAATCGTGGAGCTCCATAAGTGTGGCTCAATTTTGAATACAATTTGGTGCCATTTATAATTAAGAAATACAGATAGTTTCTCTCTTTACTCTTAAAGCTAACAAATATGTTATTGATAAATGATATATTTATCAATCTAAAAAAAATAAACATTTAGTCTGATTTGATGTTACAAATAAAAAAGTATTTGTGTTTTGATCTGAAGAGTATGTAAATATCTGGTTTCAACTGTATATTTGATGATTGTCAGCACAAAGAGGGAGAGAGAGGAACAGAGAGGGAGATGGAGAATGAGGACAGAACAGAGATGAACAAGAGCAGGTGAGACACACATGTTAGTCAAATGGTTGTTTACCAAAAGTATCACCGTATCATAGGTACTCATGTATCTCGTACCTAGTGTTTCTTTTTAGGTTTACTATTTTTCAAATTCTACATTTATTAAGTTATGCAGGCTTGTTTGCACAACAAGGCTAAATAATTATATAAACTTTTCTCAATCTAAATAGTGTACTTTGGTAGAATTAAAAAAATAAGTGTAGTGCAGGTCTATGATGATTTTTAGTGCTACTATCATCTAGTTCTGATTCTGGTTCTGTCTTGGTTAAGTCATCATTCCTGATTTTGAACTGTTGTAGTCCTGTTTTAATTCCGGATCAGTTCTGGGTCTGGTTGAATTGGGGTTTAGTCCTTGTGTCTTAATACAGCCCCACCTTTGTTCTGCCTTGCTGCTTAATTAAAAAACTAGTTTAAGGTGTCCTGCATACGTGATATATATTTTTCCCTATATGAAGTCATTCTTTTTGAACAAAACTCAAAACAGAGCCAATTAATCAGTCATTTCTAAACCCCCCCCCCCCCCCCCCCCCCCAAAAAAAAAAAAAAAAAAAAATCCCACATGCATACTACCCTTTAGAGCTAAGCCCTGGGTGTTTCAAATGTCTGGCTCCGCCTCTGGTTTAGACCACAATAGGGGCATAATGTGTGTCTGTTTTGACCACACGGAGACTGTCAGAGTTGTGGGGGCTTTTCTTTTTCTTCTTTCTTTTTTTTTTTCCACTCAAACAGTTGGTCGCACCTGTGCGACCTAGGATTTTTTAAGTTGAAAAATTTTGCGACCAAATTGGTCGCAGTCTAGAGCCCTTCATGTGATGAGTTAGTAGGAAAAGTAGGGCAACTGAGCTTACCATTTTGAATGAAAGTGTGTTTCTTGTGAAAACAAAGATTTTCTTCATGAAAATTGTGCCAAATGCAGAGAATTGCATGTAGTGTGTTAAAAAAAAGTGTGTTTTAAAACTGCAATTTGAGTGTAAAGCAGAAATTGTGTTTGTAGTTTAGCAGGATTGGTTCAGGGGGTTGGTGCATCAGATACATGTTGTAGTCATTGTGTCTGAAGTACAAGAAATTGTGTGTAAATAACTGTGAAAAACTGTAAAAGGTTTTTTTTTCCCCCTCCCACTGTCAACAGAGTTCTTGCTCATAAGGGGGTCATGTGATTGTTGGGGGTTTTGCTGTTTTCTTTTTATTATTGTAGGGTCTTTTCCTTACAATATAAAAGGTACAACATTTGCGGGAGTTGACCATCTCATTCTGAGCAGACAGATGTTTTACAGCTGGATGTTAATGTTTGGGTGATGTCATGTTTAGTTTTCTGGTACACGTGTTGTTGGTTCTATTTTATAAATAAAGTTCTTCAGTAAAATCAAAACAAAACTTCTGATTTGATTTTCGTGTTTTCCCAATGACTCCAGCAGGGGGCAAATAAGGAGCACAGTCCTATTTTACAGAAGAAGAAGAGGAAGAAGGACAGGGGGAGATCTCGCGATACTTCACTGGGCGGCAGTTAGTTCTTTGTGTGCAGTAGTGAACGTGCTTGTTAGGATCGACAGATCATCTCATCTTCCAACTGCGGATCGAAATCTGACCCAATCACACCGGATCACCTGTCCGCACTCCCACAGGTAAGAACGGTGACGTCTTTGAGTGCCAAGGTGCGAGTGGCCGAGTAGCCTCGTGGTGTGTCCGCGGTGCTAACAGCGGCTAATGCTAGCAGCTCCGCGGCCTCAAAGTGCGCGCTTTTATTTTACCCACTTTACCTGCTTACCTATCCACATGTGAGACCCGACTGTAACGCGAACTGGACCGGAACTGGAAACCTACGGGTTTTTCTGAGAAACGCCAGCGATCTCTGTAATTAAGTTAGTGATTAAGTAAATATGTGTTAATCCATTAAGTTAATGTGTTCACCTGGACCTGTGGGCGGTGCTTCAGCGGTTAGACGGTTCTCGGGGTGTCAGGCAGGTAAATGTAGTTCTAGAGCTCTTTGGTTGGTTAGAAATGTTGATGACATTCTCAGACGTCATTCTGATTGGCAGTGTTTGGGGTCAGATGTCATCTTATAGAAAGCTGCAGGTGAGTCAAACAGGCCGAGAAACATCTGGAATCAATGTCTTGATGCATGCTCAATCATCCAGGTAAGTAATTCCCAAAAGGTTGATTCTGTTAATCTTGATGTGGCTTTTCCGATGGGAGAAACATTTCATCCTCATGTAGGTGACTTTCAGCTGACTGCATGACTCCATTGTTTATTCAGTAGGTTAGCTTCCGTTGTTGTGCAAATGTACTGTTTATAAGGTTGGAAACCTGCAGTCAGCTGAGACTGAAGAAGTCACCTGGATGGTGATGAAACGTTTCTCCCACTGAACACGTCCAGATGAACATAATCAACGTTTTGGGATCTGGAATCAACATCTGCACATTGATCCACAGAGAACACCCGGACTTCACAGGTGCTTCTCAATCAATAATGCTACTGTAGCAACAGGAACATAAGATAATACAGACTGAAATGAGCTAAACTGGGGACCCATCATCAGAGAGTTACTGGTTTGGGTTTCCTGATTGAAACAGATTGAATTCTGATCACCTTCAGTTTATCGAGTAGCTTGCAAATGATAAGCAATGATCAATAATCAGCTGCTTTTGCTATTTTTCCCAGACGCAGTTAACTTCCTGAATCATTTCCATGGCGCAAAGACGAGGACACATCAGGTACCTGAAGGTGAGTGGATCAGTAGTGATCAAGTGTTTTTAACCTGTTCAGAGGCTGTGCTGTGAAGCGGGTTCAACAAATTCAAGCTTTCTTTCAGTTAACCAGCTTAACAAAATGATAGCACGAGGACCAAACATCAAACTGTTTCTGCATTTTCTACATCAGCAGCTGAACATATGCATCATGTGACTTCACACCTGGGTTTCGGCCATGATGTCACCCAGAGGCCATTGAACAGGTTTTACAAATAAAACGATGAGTAGAGGATCTCAGTCTCGCTGACTCAGACCGTAAATGACAGAATCGGTGAAAACAAGGCAGTTCCATCAGATTTAAACCTGCTCCTGACCATGTGATCGGCACGCATTACCACGGTGATCTCACAGGTACAAAGAATGCCACCTTTGTGGCACAGAACTCTGAGCTTAAGCTTGCTAAGTCGGCAATCTGGCTTTGTACTACAAATGTAATCGCAAAGAGAATTCAGAGCTTATCTGAAAACCGGAGCCTATGATTCCTTTGGGTGATCTGGTTCTGGGTCAAGTCTGTGAGACTTTTTCAGGCGATTTTCAGACTTTGAACATTCATACGAACACTTTTTAATATACCTGACTGCTTTCTGTTTCGCCTTCACGCACCGATAAACGCATCATAGAGCAGCTCAGGCTTCGGTGTCTTGCTCAAGGACACTTTGGCCTGCAAACTGCAGCAGAACCACTAACCTTCCAATTAGTAGATGAGTGTCACCCATCCCAAATGACAGAATCTGAATCTGTGAACCTATGTCAGCATGAAATGTAATCAGACTACAGTCAGACTGTCTGCTTATAAAATGTCACTTTAAACACATTTAGTTCAGTTTGGATCTGAAAGTCGTTTCAGCCTTATTGTCACTAAAATCCATCACTGAGCCTGACGATTGATCGCTGATCGATGTCATGTAAACGGTGATTCTACAATAACTGTAATCGTATTACACTCATACTGTCACTAGAGATTTGATTCTAAGTTGTAATCTGTCATTGATGGAATAGCTGTCTCTGTGCTGATATATTGATGAGTGGTTGGTTGGACTGACTTAATAGCTGTGACTTTATGAAAGCAAGGGTCACTCAGCTAATTCAGGTCCAGGAGGAGGGGAGGAGTCAGAGGGAACACCTGTCAGAGGTTACCCAAAGTTTAGTTTCCAAAATTCTTTACCCTGGTGGCTCTCTTTCTGGAACAGAAACCCAAGTCTATCTTATCTCAGGGTTAACAAACTCAGAGTTTTAGCTGACCCCAATTCCTGAATCAGGGCCTGGGGATTAGTGCATGTTTATGACAGGTGTGTGTGGTGTGTGTGTTTCAGGTGTGTGAGGTTCAGAACTCTCAGGGTGATGTCAGAGACGCTTCGCTCGCCGCTAAAGGAGCTGCTGGAAATGTGAGTGCTACGCTTTGATTGGCTGAATCTGTTCACTTCCTTTATTCTGGCATCTTTTGACTTTAGTGAAAGTGATGATGGTGATGATGTAATGACCTCAGGAGCTGTACGATAACGGGTACGGCGAGCAGATGATGGAGGACGAAGACGCACGCACGAACCTGATTGTGAACTACCTGCCGCAGAGCATGAGCCAGGACGAGCTACGCAGCCTCTTCAGCAGCGTCGGCGAGGTCGAGTCTGCCAAGCTCATCCGCGACAAAGTGGCAGGTAACGATGAAAGTACTGCTAATGTAGTGCTGAAGTACCACTAATACAGTACTACTGAAGTGCTGCTGCAGTATCACTGTTAGTACCACTACTGCAGTACTACAGTAGAATCACTGTAGTACTTCTGAGTACCTGGACTGCAGCAGGTGCTGAGCTCCCCAATCGTACTGCAGTATTATTCAGGTAGTACTTAGAGCTGGGCGATATGAGATTTTTTCATATCACGATATGTTTTTTTCATTTCAGGCGATAACGATATCTATCACGATATAAGCCAAATAACTATATTTGTAAGATTTAAATGTGCCGTTGCTCACAAGTAAAATGTGAAATAATCAGCAGCTTGTTTTTATTTAAATATTTATTTCCCATAATAAGTTCAACAGGGTAGATGTACTTAAGGAACATGAGACTTTTTCAGATAAATAAAGGCAAATATTGCAAACTACACAAAAGGCAGCCACTAAAGCGTTTAAGTTTCAAAATAGAACAAACAAAACAGACTAAATTGTCAATTCCACTTAGAAACAAAATATTAATTCTAAAAATAAATCTTAGTTTGTTTTACAGAAGAACAGACAAAACTGACTAACTTTTGTCAATATCAAATAAACTGAGAACTAAAAGGAAATTCTCAATCTCTCCTTGTTGTATAGCTGAGCTTTTCAAACAGTTTTAACAGTTACTTTAGTCTGACAAAAGCCGAATGACGAATTAGCGCTTCCAGTCAGAGACTGAGGCTACGTCCACACGTACACGGGTATTTTTGAAAACGGAGATTTTCCGTTTTCGTTTTAAAAAATAATCCCGTCCACACATAAAGGGAAAATGAAGGAAAACGCTGCTATGAACATGCCAAAGCAGCAGGTGGCGCTAGATTCCTAACCGTGCCGAAATGTTGGCCAATCAGAAGTCTAGAAGCCTCGGTGGGAAAAAGTAAACAAAGCTGGGGCATAGAAGCAGAACCGAGTCGTATGTGTGGAGGGACAGTAACTGTGTGTATATGTAAGCATTTAAACACTGCAGAGAGTAGAATTAACAGTAACAGTATTGTAGAAATTCTTTTCACCGAAACAATAACGTGGCGCACAGTGTGACGCATGCACCAGTTTATTGTATTTCCAGACTTGCTTTCGGCACAATTTACAGTGCACGCTACTCTGTTTTTTGTCAGACTTGAAATAGCCGAAATACCTTCACACAACGGAACTCCTATGGCTCTTCCGTTCGACAATCTCTCCGGCGTTGGAACCATCATCTGTTTTCTCTTCGGTCACGCTCGGTTGATTTTTCTAGTCGGCACACTCATTTCCTCCATTACGCACTGGCTCCATTACCCGCTGGCTGCTTCGCAAACAAACACACGTGCGGCTTGGCACTTGTGCTGTACGTAACAAGTCACGCGACGTGATGCTGCGGCTGTGATTGGTTCGGCTCTGCGCTACTTAATTTGGATTGGCTGACCTTCTTTTTTTTTTTTTCTTTTTTCTTGAGGACAAGAGCGGCGAGGTCTATCGCGATAGCTTAATTTCTCTATCGAGTCAAAGTTATATCGCGATACATATCGTTATCGTTCTATCGCCCAGCTCTAGTAGTACTATGGTATTACTGGGGTACTGTTACACACAGTAGTACTGTGGTATTACTTTGCTTACGACTAATGATGATAATTTTACTAAAGACAAATACCAGATTACTTTTGAAGCATTATAAGTTTTACTGTGAATATGTTTTATTTCAGTACTTGAAGTAAATGTATTTCAGCATTAACACGTGTACTTGTTCATGCTTCATTGTACTTTGTACTCCTTATACTGCGAAGTAGGTCACAGCTGTATTTTGCAGTAGTTGTAGTATCAGTACATAGTCGTTATAGTACTGTTTGCAGTATTTCCTGTTCACTGTTGTTTTTTGGGGGGTTTCAAGACGATCAGCTGATTTTGTTTGTTTTGGGGGGTTTTAACTCTGTTTTTTTGTTCTTCTTTTTTTAGGTGAATTTTGTGATTTTTCTCTCTCTCTCTTTTTTTTTTTTTTTTTTTTTTTGTCATAAAACAATTTGGATATTTTTGTTGTTGTAATCTTCATTTTTTTCACACCAGGTTTAATGACATCAAAGTGTCTAACAGGTACTTAATGCTGATTGGTTACATCAGGGCTGGGCGAACAAAGTAAATAAAAGTTATTTACTGAATGATTCAAAACAAATTAAAGAATGATTTAGAAAAGAGGTGTGGCAAGAATATGTTGACACTAACTGAACTTGTTTTTTATTTTATAAGAATTTGAAACTTTGTAATTACATTTTGAGGCGACGGCCGTCTGGTGATGAATGTCTTCAGATGACACGTGGCTTGGTTGCAGGTTTTCAGGTCTTCTGCCCTACAGCAGAAACAGAATAACTTTGATTGGCGAGCAAATGGCGAGCATGTCAGTGCCTGAGCAAAGAATGAAAGTTTTGGTTGAATTTTTTTCGTCCAGCCTCTGATAAAGGTGTTTTGTTTTTATTTTTGTGGGGTTTTATTTTGTTTGTTTGTTTTAAAAAGTATTTTCACCTGTTTGATTTTTTTTTCAGGCTGTTTGTAAAACTTTAAAAATATTTGAAGATTTTTTTGTTCTGAACAAGTCGAGAAAACAGTCGTTTTCAACAGTCGTGTGGGTGATGCAGGATTGCATCCTGCCAGCGTGTAATCGTCAGGTCGTCGTGCGTTCAATACAACCATGTGCAGATGATTTGTGCCGACGGTTTGATCATCATCATCATCATGTGGCTAACCACCCTCATGCCAAAGTAATATATCACCAGTGAGTCATCTTTAACCTCATTCACTGACGACGATAAATTATTTACTTCCATGGACAGATCTTACCTGAACTGGCCAAATCAGGTGAGATCTTACCTTTTCAGATAAAAAATAAATTAATATTTATATTGAATATTTAAACATTTAATCTGTATTTTATTTCAACTCGATGTAAGTGCAGTTTTTATTTTCATCACTTTATTTTCTGTGAGAACTAACTTGTGTTGAAGTGTAACAGGAGAGATGACCTTTAACTTCTTTGTTTGTAGTGAGTTTTTTTCCAAAGTTGATTTTTTTTATTTTTTTTTATTTTTTATTTTTTTTTAAATAGGTGACACTGCAAGGTACATTGGCTAACTGTTTTGAGAGCTAAAACGTGGTAGGTGCGCGGCGGTCAGGCAGCGTGGTGGGTGGCAGCAGGTTTTCTCGGTTTGTTCAGAAAACTGATGTTTTCCAATTGACTGTATGGATCTCTGTACTTAGTTTGAACTCTGTGTTTGTTTCTCTCGGACTGTGTAGCAGCTGTAACAGACGCTTTTGTTTTTATTTTGTTGTTTTCCTTTGTGTTTCTCTAGGCCACAGTTTAGGTTACGGCTTTGTTAACTTTGTTAACCCTAGTGATGCAGAGAGGGCTATCAGTACCCTCAATGGCCTGAGGCTACAGTCTAAAACTATCAAGGTAACGTGCCACAGGTGCTCTTTGTTTTTCCTGTCTCAACTGATGTGTTATGTTCCCGGACAGTAGAGGGCACTCTCACCTGTCTGATGGATGAAGGTATTTTCAAACTCTGCTGTTTTGTTTTTATTGTTTTCGCACCGACACGTGTCAACACTGAATCTGTGAATTTCTTCAATTCAGTGAGACAACGTACTGCACCTTTTACTTTCAGACATTAATGATATTAATGCTTTTATTTTGGTGATCAGAGCCTGTTTGGATGCTTTTATTTTGTGTTTTGTTTTGTTGTTTGGAAAAATTGTGGATTTTTATTTATTTTTATTGAATATTTAAAAATTTAAATCTGGATTTTATTTGAACTCAATGTAACTGTATTTTTTATTTTCATCACAGTTTGTTTTCTGTGACAATTATTTTGTAAAGATGATCAGCTGACTTACTTCCTGTCACTTCCCCGCAGGTTTCATTTGCACGGCCGAGTTCGGACGCCATCAAAGATGCGAACCTGTATATCAGTGGTTTGCCACGGACTCTCAGTCAGCAGGACGTGGAGGACATGTTCTCGCACTATGGTCGCATCATCAATTCTAGAGTGTTAGTGGACCAGGCTTCAGGTACCGCACGCGCTCAGTAAGCTCAGGGTCATGTGATGGCTTGTGATGTTTGGAACTGAAAAAATTCTGTTCTGGTTGGCTGTTTAGGTCTGTCACGTGGCGTGGCCTTCATCCGCTTTGATAAGAGGGCCGAGGCCGATGACGCTGTCAAACACCTGAACGGACACACGCCTCCCGGCAGCGCTGAGCCAATCACGGTCAAGTTTGCTGCCAATCCCAACCAGGCCAGGAACTCCCAGATGATGTCACAGATGTACCACGGCCAATCACGACGCTTTGGGGGGCCTGTCCATCACCAGGCACAAAGGTTCCGGTATGCTGACCTGCTCAGAATAACCTGATTACTGTAGTCTGAGTACTCTAACCTACCTTGTCCCGAGATCCAGCAGCTAATTGACTTAGATGTTTGTTACTGTTCTATGAGAATCAGTTAATCTGCAGCTGTCTAATACTTCGTGTGTCCAGGTTTTCTCCAATGAGCACCGACCACATGAGCGGAGGGGGTGGGGCCTCGGGGAGCTCATCCTCTGGTTGGTGCATCTTCATCTACAACCTGGGCCAGGAAGCTGACGAGGCCATGCTGTGGCAGATGTTTGGCCCGTTCGGTGCAGTCTTGAATGTGAAAGTGATCCGAGATTTTAACACCAATAAGTGCAAAGGCTTTGGCTTTGTTACAATGGCAAACTACGAGGAAGCTGCCATGGCGATCCACAGCCTGAACGGGTACCGCCTGGGGGACAAAGTCCTGCAGGTCTCCTTCAAGACCAGCAAGGGGCACAAATAGAGGAGGGGGCAAGGCTAAAACTAATAACAGGTGTTTTTGTTTTTGTTTTTTGTCTGTTTTCTCAGTTTTTCCCAGCATGCCCTCTTTCTTTATGTCAGTAAGTAATTTTTCTGGCTGTGTGGGCATTCATCCACAATAAAGGACTGAAATTTGCAGTATGACTGACAGCTGACTGTCAGCATTGTTATGAACATAACTGGAGTTGTATCAATTTCTGCAGGTTTACTTTAAAACATTTGGGGTCAAAGGTTACGGAAACTAAATCTGCTCTTTTCTGATTTGAGTAAAACGTTCAATTGGTTTTATGTACAGTTTATGTAAATGATGTCATGGTAACCACTGACAACTGATTAAAGGATTAAAAGTTTGGACAGGTAACCTGACGTTATCATGTCAGGTGATCAGGTCAGTGTTAGACGATTAGTTTCATGTTGTACAGGTGAGGTAGAGGAATGCACCTGATGAACAGGTAACTGATGTGAAGTCGATTTTCATTTGTTTTATTTTTGTATTGCAGCTTCATTGTGACATTTATTCAGCAATAAATCTGTTATTGTGAAAACTTAACCTGTGTCTGAATGTTTGTCTCCCCTTTGTCTGAATTTCTTTAAACTGTCAAACTTTTTCTTTATCGATGGACACAAAGTGTGGAGTTTATTTTACTATTTCTGTGTCGTTGCATATTCAGTACAATGGCGTGACTGAACGATGACAAATGCAGTGGTCTGTTTGGACAAATCTGTTTATTTGGATCCAAAACATCAGAAAAATCTAGCTCGGTTTGAAAGAATAAATGCCACAAATTTGTCCTGTGGAATTACGCATCCACTGTGTAAGAATAGGTAAGTCCGAAAATATTTTTAATGTGGGAATTTACGCATCCTGTGTGAAAGTTTTAAAAGTTTTACTGGGAGCCAGTTATAGAGGACCACAAGGCCACATGCATTGAAACAAAGAATTCTGTGCTTAAATTATGAATTGTATAATAAATCATCCATTTGTGAATTCATTTTTCAAAATGATTTTATTTATTCAAACAAAATTAAAGTAATTGGTTTAATAGTTTAAAAATAAAAACATTTAAATCAATTTTTCAAAGTGAATTATTAATCCATTAATAAATGAGAAATTGATTTCATAAAAAAATTACACTCAATAGAAACAGATTTTCAAAAACCATTTTTGAATAGAAAGCCCTCTCTTACTAATATTTTCCATATATCGTACTTGTTTAAATCTGTCATCTAAATTCTTTATAGGATTCAATTTGTTGTGCACCAAAATATCCTTTAGATTTTTATTTCTTCTATAAGCTGTAACTTTTAAATTGCTGTAAAGGAGGAAGGGCTTGTTGGGCCATCAAAAAAGAGGTATTAAGAGATTGATTCAAGACTCCGATGTGTCTTGAAAAGGTGATTACAAACTGAATCAATTCACTCTGATTATTCCTCCTAATTGTTGGCTGATCCTATCAAAGAGTGCTTTCACTTCACTTTAAATCTGCCCTTAAAAGCGGACTGAGTAACCTCTTGGTCTTAAAGCCTTAAACAACGCTGAAGTAGCTTCTTCCACATGCATCTTAAAGGTACAGATACGATGGAATCTAATCAATTGAGATTTAATAATACTCCTGAAAACATGTCTAGGATGAAAACTTTTTTATATAACAGTATGTGTCTATCTGTATCCTTAAAACAACAAATAGTTGTTTGCTTTGATTATTATTGTTTCTAAAGAAAACTATTGTGTCTAAAAAGTTAACTTGGAATTTATTTAGTTGAAACTGTAACTTCATTAAAGGGGTGGTGATTGTTCAATTTATCAAAAAAGATTTTGAAAGCTTCTAAGCCATGTGTCCAAATACCAAGGGTTGGCGATAACCACAATCGTCATGTGACGATCATCAATAACTGGAGAAGCATAAGCACAGTGGGGAAATTTTGTGTGAGTGGTGTTGGTAGCAGTAGGCTCGTGCCTGCCAAGTTTGGTGGCAATCGGAGAAAGTTCAATTTTTGAGCCCCTTAGGTGCCCACTGTGGTATTTAAAGGCCTGTGAGGGAGTGGCTGGTTGAATCATGGTTGCAAGGTAGGACATTGAGGTATGTGTATCATAGGATAGAGCTGGAGGAGACCTTTAGGGCAATATAGCACCTGCTGGATGTAGGAGGTACAGAAGCTGAGTTGGGAGTGAAAAAAAAGGGTTCCATTTTGAGGACCCATAATGCATTGGAAGAAGGACATAATCAATTTTTTTTTCACTTTTTGCATTTTTTATATATAATTTTTTATTAATTGTCTGTTTCTGTGTCTGTGTGTGTCTGTGTTTGTTTGTTTTTGTATCCCTCTACAATGTGAATTGCAGCCCAGTGATGCTCCAATTCAAATTTGACAGTGCTTTGACAATGCTTCCATCTAGTGGTGAAACAGTTTGCGGCAAACTAACTGGAGCGTGCCTCACCAGGAGAGAGTTATTAGGGCTCTCAGAAAAAATCCCAGCCTTGGAGATCTTCTGGTGAGAGCATAATTGGAGGGGAGAGTCAAAATGCCCCCCACACAATATCCACACTGAATCAGTTTCTTTCCGTTCCGTTGGATCCACTGTGACTCACCTCTCCCTGTGTTGCAGTGCCTCCAATCTACAGTTCACTAACGTGCCACTATCATCCCTGGGTCTCCCGTATCAAGCTTTCACTCCTGTTCACGTAACTTTCATAGCTTTAATCAGCGTATGCCTCTCACAGTTAGTGTTTCTATGACTATGTGTGTATGACCTTGTATATAGCTTTGTAGTTTTATAATGCCTCACAGTTCATGTTATTAGGATTTACCTTAGCTTTGCCCTTGCACCTGTATATAGTCACTGGCAGAGTTTATCCCACAGCTATTGTTATAGTTCACCTGCTCTCAGCTCATATTGTGTCACGTCCTGTACATATGACTGTTTACACCATATCACAATCACTGTAAATAAATCTCGTTACACTAACCTGTGCCGCTGTCTTGGGTCTGTGTTTTTGGTCCATTCTGTGTTGTGACAGTTTTGCCGTGACAATATATTTAAAGTGAGTATGTAGACCGATGTCTTACGCGTATTAAATACAGGTCATACAGGTGTCCCCTCACTGGGATTGCATGCTAAATGATTGTTTGTAAATGAAACCTGTGAATATTAATTGGAAAGTAGAGTTGAGTCAAATTGGTGTGCGCCACCCCCGTCCTCACGGAGCACCCCTCCCCACGAGACAGGCACCATTCCTGGGATAAAACCTCCAGCAGTGATCCCCCTTTTTCTTTTTATTTGATTTCACTGTAACTGAAAATAGTTTATAAACTAATGAACCAACTGCTAATCGTCATCTGTGAAGGCTGAGAACATGACTACAAAGTCTCAAAGGTCAAAAGGTATTCTCTCTTAACAAGTGAAAGCTCAGTAATGGCCAAAATATTAGTCACATTCTGCCCAATTCTGTTTGCAGATTGCAATTTAAAAAAAAAGAGAAAGATTTTAAATACTAGTGGGGAACTTTTTCAGTTGCTTTCTCCTTCGTGACCTGTACCTACCTGAGAGATCGTGAGAGAAACAAGGCACCTCTGTGTGTGTGTGTGTGTGTGTGTGTGTGTGTGTGTGTGTGTGTGTGTGTGTGTGTGTGTGTGTGTGTGTGTGTGTGTGTGTTTCCAAGCCTCTGCTCAAAACAGACTGTGAGAGGGGAGATCGAGACAGAGAGAAGCCGTCATCTGCTGGAGTGCTGGTCTATCTGGAACGTGCTGCTGCCTGGCTACTCAATTTGTGCCTAGGGCCATCCGTCCTCAAACAGTCACCAGCAGTGGGCAATTTTTCAAAGTCAACTCTACTAGCTGTCAGAAGAGTCTGACTGTAACATCTATTCATAGAAAAACTATTCCCTGATTAGTTGGACAATGCAAGGACTGGCTTTAAATTATATCATAACTGACTTACACACAGATGATGAATTAAAAGAAAACAAAACACAGTTAAGCATCTTAGAACATCTACAATAGATGATCAAGGTGGTTGAAATTTGGTCAGTTTCATATATAAAATTAAAATGATTCATGTGGTGTCATGACTTCATGCTTCATGTTTGACTAGTTTATATTCTATTGTTTTATTGTTATATTAAATGTAAGTATTCTTATGTAAACAGTATGTTTATGAGGGAAGACAAACTCAACACATGACGCACTCTTCAACCTAAATTCAAATTTTAACATATATTAAATTAATTAACAAACTTTAAAAACAACAACACTAAAATCTAGAACCATAATAGAACCACATGAAGTATATGAAAAAAAAAACATCATTAAAATAAAGAGTTTCTTCTATTGGGGAGATTCTTTGAAGAACCAGACCACCTTTATTAACCTGAGAGTGCTCATTGAACCATGCAGTGTGAATAGGAGAGACCTGGGAGAGACCACTCCCATTGCATATTTTATCACAGGATAAAAGTGATCAATCAAAACAACTTTACCAAACCAATTACCAAACCATACCAGCAAAATCCCCCCTGTCATCAGAGCAAAGCCCCAAATCCCCTCACTGTGGAGAGCCAGAGTTCAACTTTTTCCTTTAATTTGTCACTTGTCTCCGGTTCTTTCTGTAGTGAATTTAATCCTTTTTGTTTTTCAAATACAAATAATTCTGTTTTTCAGTTTCATTGAATTAAGAGCAAGATATGTAAAAATCGATCAATCTGTTAAAGTTGAGCATAGCACAAAACGTGTGCCCGCCCTGAACATAATCGATTCTTGCAATGAAGGCCATAAAATCAATTTTGCCTGGCACCACATGTGATGTGAGACAATAACCTTGTGTGTTACATGTGTGGTGTGTGTGTAGCTGTGGGAAGATGGATGGATGGATGGATAGGGGCTACTAAGAATGTCTGATCTTCTGTTGACTCCACCTGTTATTCCTATAAACTGTGCCTGCTATTGTTAGCACTGCGTGGCTCAGTTGTAGCTGCTGCCAGCAGGTACTTGGTAAGCTGTGATTACTGAGACGTGTCTGTGCTCTCCTGATGCACGTGGCATGTTGTTTGGAAATGTAAATCTTTACAGATCAGCTATGTGAACACAGCAGATTATTCCATTTAGATTTTTTAATCTGATTAACATAAATTCATGCTGGTATATTTTATTCATGCAGGTTGTTGTTGCTGCTCTTTCTGCAGTGCAGTCTGTTGATTAAGTGAGTGAGGCCAGGGTAACTCCTGCTTCCAGGGATCATTTTGCAAACATTGTTCTTCATTTATAGTATTTATAAAATCCACTTTTTTTTTTACAAATCTCAAATATTCAGATCATATTTGAATAATAAACTTGCTCTAATAATAATAAACTTGTGAGGCCCGTCTCATGTCATGTTTAAACAGGATTTTAGAAAAATGTTTTCAAAATCAAGTCCTAGAGACTGATATCGTATCCCAACATACTTACAGCTAATAGCTATGAGTAGATAGGTGATCTATCTGAGTCAACTAAACAGAAAGTATTGCCTCATTTGTCTCTTTAATTGCCCAAAGATGTATTCTCCCACACTGGAAGTCACCCAAGCCACCAACAGAAAAGTCTTGACCGACAGATCTAATGTCATTCCTTAAATTGGAAAAGTTTATAGTTTCTCTTAGAGGGGCCAATAAGAAATGTTATACCTCACGTAAGCCTTTCCTTTCATATCTCCTTCCTTCTAAGGAACCCAAATTCCTTTTCCCTTAAAAAAAACCCAAAACAAACTTTTTCTTTGTTGCTTTTTTTTTTCTTTTAGCAAACACTTGTTGTGACACTAAGGTTTAACTATATGTAGACTGTATGTTTTGTATGTAAATGTATAATAAGGTCTCAATAAAACAATATAAAATATTGTGTTTGTGCATTCCTTGCCTCCCTTCATTGGCCTCCAGTGAAATCTGAAATTCATTTTCTAATTTTACTATCATACAAAAGACTGAAAGGCCGGCCCCTGCTTTCATAAGAACTGTTAAAACTGTTAAAACCCAATTCCACTCAGGGTATTTTAAGTGTTGTGCATTCTGATTTTAAATGTAGAGGTGACCAAAACTAAATTTTGGAACAGCCTTCTTCAACTTATCAAGTAGGTTATGCCTCTGCTTTGATTTAAACTAGCTTTAATACGATAGCATTTTCTGAAACATTTTATACTGATTATCGTGGTCATTCGGCCTTTAAAAAAAGCATGATGATTATGTAGTTAATCGATTAAGAGTACGATTATGTGTCTGCATGAATGCATGCTTGTATGGTATGCAACAAGCTGCTGTACACAGTCACTTATCAGTAATAACAAATTATCAATAAGTCATTGTATTTTTATTATGTATTATATGGTGTGGTGTTGTATTGTATAGCTATTCTCTCCTGTTTTAGTTGTTTGATACAGAGGGTTTATCCTAAATCTGAAACACAATTTTAATTTTATATTTTAAAAAAAAAAAACCTGTGCAGATTTGTAATGTATGAATACGAGATTGTTTTCAATACTTTTAATTCAATTCAATTTTATTTATAGCACCAAATCACAACAGCAGTCGCCTCAAAGTGTTTTATATTGTAAGATAAAGACCCCATAATAATACTGGATGGAGGCTCGTTGATATTATAATATCTCAACGGCGCACACGGATAGTACTCTTCATTTATTTAATAAAATGTGGTCATTTGTCTTCAGGTGTGACCTTGTTTCATCCTTATTTTTGGAAAGAACACAGATTACCGTAATCTCTTTCTCAGTGGGGATCTGAGGTTACATGATAAAGCAGCATGAATGTCTCATAACAGTGCCTGCCCTGCCCTTCTCTTTGAGATCTTTACAACATTATTAGCACAGGGAAACTTTGAGTTTGTAAAAGAGCAGAAAAAGACTTTTATATAATTTCTTCTGCTTTTTTGTTAAAAAACACAAAAACCTAATGAAAACATGGTGTGTCTAACATGAATATTTCCAATAATACACAATCCCCTTTGTGTAGTAATATCAATAGTATTTAATACTACCACTACTAATTTTTCAGACTGAACTGACACGATATATACTGAATTATGATGCCAGAGATGTTGCTTTTCTAGCTGATGGCCTTGTATTACATGTTTTCATTGTTCATGTATAAAATCTGGATTTTACATACTTGACTTAAAAGAGCAAAACAAATAAACTTGTATACAGTGTAATATTAAAGCTCTTTGCCCTGTATTGCACAAGCCTTGGGCTCTCAGCACCCAGTTGCCTGCGCTCCATAATTATTGACAGGTTTGATGTACTCAGCGAGTGGAAAGTATGGGGAAATTGGAGTTTCAGTTGTCTACCCCGAGGCTGATGACTGTAATGGAAAGATTAAAAGGAGTGGTCACATCACCCACCCTGTGCCAAAATACTAGCTGTTCCGTCACAGCTACCACCTCGCTGTTTATTCCAATCACCTCCAGTTTATGTTCTACCAGTGACGTTAAATAGATTATAGAGGATTCACTTATTTAAAGACTGGAGCTAAATCTCTGCAGGTTATTTTTAGATTGTCCAAGGATAACAACAAAAGCGACAGCTTGATTCACTAGAGGCATCTAATTGAAGTAAGTCACTTTTGCCATGTGGGACAGTGCAGTGTAGCAGAGCAGCTGGTCTGTTAGACACTCAATAGGTCAGCTGAGTGTTGTCAGTACTCACCCCATTCACTTTCATCTGTTGTACCAAGACCTGCTGCACCAAGAAGCTCCCTGCACAGCTCCATCATGTCTCTACGGCTTCTGCCTGCTATCATTATGGACAATGACGAGGACGATGATAGTAACTTCACAAAATGGATGAGCAGTTACTGGGGTCACGGACCAGACGCTGTACATTCCAGAGAAAGAAAACACAGTTTCAGAAGGCCTTCAAAAACACAAGTTGATAGACGAGCATCACTCCCGACTGCGGTAAGGACCGGCTGCACTTCACGTATGTGTTCAGCTCTGCAGCATTCGACTTGATGCATGCACTGACATTTAAACAGCAGCAAAACACTTTTAACAAACATTTTTTGCAGTTTCTCTTGTCCAGTTTTACACCACATATGGACAGCATGCTTGTACACTTGACACTATAAACATCTTAAATTTTATTCTGTATAGCCCTTCATTGATAATTGGAGGGAAAATAAAATATATGCACTCTCTGATGAATGTATTTCACTATACTAATTAAAGGCCAGTTTAATAAATATAATAAAGTACATTTATCAGACAGTATACTTTCTATGTATTTCTTTAAAAGCAGCTCAGGGTGTTAGAAAGATCCCATACCTTCACTGACTGCAAATATCACTGCATGGAATATTTATAAAACACAGAGTTTTATTTTCTCTGAAAAAGACAAAATATGGACTATGACAGCAGAATAATGCACATGTATGTTTTACAAGCTGGTATGAGAACTAATTAAATATTAAAGCTTCCGAACAAAAAGCCTCTAGTAGTGTGCAAACTGTTGTTTTGGTAAATTTCCCCATGAAAGCCTGCAAAGTACGAAATTATTGATGCTCTAAGTGAGTTGTTTTCTATTACTTTACATCAGAGCGATCAAACACTGCAAATGCCGTGCCACGTGCTGAGCTGTTCACAGTCTCATTAGGAAAAACAGTATAGTTCTATAATGAATACAGACCAGTCTGGTGTTTGTGTTGTAGCTGTGTCTGTGTAGGTCTGTAGGAAAATTATTTTTTCCAACTAAAAATGCCTTCACATCTGATATCATTTTCTTATATAAACAATGTTTTTAAGTCATGGGCTGCCACATGCCAAAGCTCTTACACATATTCTTCATTCAATAGCGTTCCAACTCTTCCATAACCTCTGGCTATGTGGATGTTTAGCAAAAAATAGAGGTACAACTTAAAGCAGCAAACAAGCAGAAGAGCAACCAACATGAATGGCGCACAATTTAGTGATTTGTATTTTTTATTAATAACACAGAACAGGGTAACTTATCTATCAGCATAGTCAAGTGTCATGGCCTGTGTGGTGAATAGTGGTGCTTACTTTATAGTTTTCTGGTATATTTTCATTAGTGTGATGACAAATTTCATAGGAGTTAAGCGAAAACTAAAGGATGGAAGGAGCCAAAGAAACTCTTTCTAATCTAAAGCAGGTGATAAGAGTCACAACAGTGTAAGTGCACACATATAAAGTGGTCTCTCTGTGGAAGAAAAGAAACTTACAAGCAAGTAGTTTACAGACAACACTGGGTGAGCACAATCAGTTCTCATCATGAAGGAAGCACTGACAAATGCAAAAAAAACAAATGTAGTAGCATAGTGTAACCTTTCACTAATAATCAGAAGAAGTGCTGTTTAAACTGAAGCCTGCAGTTCCCCGTATGCTCTGTTTTTAAGCAAGCAAATAGAGAAGTAATGCACAGATTCTTGGTCTGATAGTGGAACTATTGGTCAGTATATTTAAAATAACAATTTTGCTGAAAGCCTATGCTATATAAGTTTATTCTGGGAAATAAAGAAATTCTCATTCAAATAACAACTATTCTGAATATTTTTAGCCTTTCTTCATACTACATTTATCTTTTAAAATGCAGCAAATGCAAAAATGGTGTCACAGATGAGCCCATGACGTTACTAAATGTTCCAGGACGTTTATCAGTCAACAAGGCGGGCAGCTACAAATAGCAATGTTTGTCCTATAACAGTTAAAACTAGCAACATCAACATAACAAGCCACTTCCTTGCACCGCAAAACAAAAAAAGCTTCTTGCAAATACCATAAAAACATAGTATATATATATAAAAGATGTAATTAACCCCTATGACCGTTCTTTTTTTGAAGTCCTGTTTGAAGCTTAAAGTTTGAAATTTTGGCTGGTGAGATCGAGGTTTATGAAATCGAAGTGAGGGGTTGATCCAAAGAAAAAATACACTGCACATATAAAAACGTTTGACTCCTAAAGTAGCTACACCCTAAAGCGGTGGTAGGCGATTAATTCAAAATTGAAGAACCTGCTCAGTTAAAGAAGTCTTGACAGTACTAACTGAGATAGTAGATCAACAGAAAATCTGACATATTAAGGTGCATCAGCGTTGACTGCACTTTTCATACCTTTACACATATTTTGACCTATTTAAAGTAACATTTATCACATTGTTTAGTTTCTTTAAACAGAAAAAATCACATTGTCACAGATCTCTCATGTTATTTTTTTTCCTCAAATTTAAAGTCAAAGGAACATCTAGACATCGTATTTTTTCCTCAGCAGCAGTAATAAAGTTAAGTAGAACCAGAAATAACTTCTGGGGTTGTAGAATGTCAGCCTGTGTCTAGTGCATCGCTATTTAAAGCTCCCATTAAGAGTTAAACCTTGGTTTAGTAATGAGTGCTCCAGAAATACATCATTTGAAGAGAACAGTTCAGTAGTTACAGATTTACAAGTCTAGCCAAACACTGAAATTCATCTGTACCTTCACCTTTGATGTTTTACTGGAGTTGCATTATCAGATTATTGCTGTTGTGTAAATATATATTTACGTTCTGTCCTGAGTCTAGAGTCAAACTATATATAGGTAGCTGCTTTGCCAACATGTTACTTAAGGATATTAGCGAGTGAGTGTTTAACCCCATTGACAGACATAAGGCAGACATGGTTGTCTCGCTAGTTTAATCTTCTTACAACTCCGCCTCACTATTAGAGGGAATGTGACACAATAATTTTACTCTCAAGTGTTGTTACGTGGTGTAATAACACTTATCGTTGTGTTCTTAATCCTCAGTCACAGTTAGATGTCATGAAGTTAAACAGGTTTCATGCGGCTACAATGGCGCCCACTCCCAGCCACGTCAAATCAAGAGAGGATAAGGGGGAAACCAGGGTCCACCAGAAGCTTCGCCGTGCCTCTGCAGATGACAACATCCGCGCTAAGACTGCGATCGCAGAGAATCGCATCACCACCATCCCAGAGCTCACAGAGACACTTGAGAAGAGGCTCTGTCTAAATGATAAGAAGACCACGTCTCTGGTGAGCAGGAGGACTTATAACATTAACTAAACGAACGATAAATGGTCCTTACAGATTTTTACCTTCTCATAGTGTTATAGATGACCGAAGGACGATCAGACTTGATGGTCTTTCTCCTCCTCATATAAAATTACGAAGCCCGTAAAAATTAAGGAGCCTGAAACGCTGCATTACTTTTATGTGCTGCCAAAGACAAAGCTGTGAATTACATAACCTACAAATACCCACATAATTAACTGGTCTTGAATGCACACAAGGACCTTGAAGTTTTCTTTTTCTTCTATTGTCCATGCTTTTTGTCGGCATACTAAAGAATATAGTTGTGAATGCATGTTTAATCCTTTTTCATTTTTATACCTGATTTTTCTTGGAACAAAATTTTTTGTCAAGCCCTGTTAAAACTCATTGTCAGGGGTTTAATGTTAATGAAACGGTGTTTCTGTATCTTTGTGGTGTCACAGGAAATCAATAAAAAAAACGTGATACATAACATACACAGTGCAAATAACATTTACAGCTTATCATAACTTTGTGAAAAATTATATCTTTATTTATTAGTTTACTGAAATTAAATGGAGCTCCTTCACTTTGGTATATAAGTTACATATATGAAGTTCCTGTCACTTAATCTCCCACTGATGCAATAATACAGGTTTATTATTTTTATAAATACATAAGTTATTGAAATCTTGGTCAGATGTTGTTTCTTTTTCTCACAGAAGAAGGACGATACGTTGTGCCTGATCTGTCATGAGGACATGCGTAAGAATGGGAGGGGAGTGCCACATTGTACACACCGCTTTCATAAAGAGGTAAGAGAACCTGCACACGTCAGATCTACTGCATGACCTCTGTCTACACTGTGTTCCCTAAAATCCCTGCAAGTCAGACACCAGATCTCTGATGCATGATATCAGCCTGTTCCCTGACATGCATGATGTGAACTGGAATGAAAACACAATGCCTGCAGCAGAAACTTATCCCTGTAGATGCATGGAGTACACTGAACAGCCTGAGGTCCCAGGAACTGGATACTTACTCATTATGATGTTTCCATCTGGTGGGTGCTGAAGGCAGCTCGGAGGTTAGAGCAGTGTCGGCCCCGAAGCAGCAGTGAAGCAGCTGTTTTACAGGGGAGGAAGCTCTATGAGGAGAGGAGGAGGTCTGCAGATGGACAGATTTCCACGGAGAAGGAGCAGCACACACTCCATCGTCAACATTCCCTGAGGAGACATCGCTGATATTGTTTTCAAGAAGGGGAAAATGCATGATTTGCAGTGAAAACATCAGGATTTCTCCTGAACTTTTACTACGATGTGACACTGAAAAATCAGGGCCTCAAATCCCCTCTGGGCCAGAGTTTTAGGTCACTTTTGGAATAATTGCAACTTCTTCTCTTCAGTGTGCAAACACAGAGTTAAAAATGTTTGAAAAGGGTTAGAGTTAGAAAAAAAAATTGAGACCGAGTTTAAAGGTTTGAACTCAAAGTTTTCTGCTTTAAAACCTCAGTATGACAAACTGTACTGCACCATGACTATGTAAACAGGGGTGTTGCTAAAGTGTTGGCTTGGGGCCTGAAATTTATTAGGTCCACCTGGTGCCCCAGCTTAATCTTTATTATATAAATGCAAACATGAGTGAAAATAACAGGGGGATGTAAGGTGTCCAGTTACATTTTTGCTGTAAAAACACTGTGGTACTCCTCAATACATTATTGTAAATATAACTATATAATGTTATATAATATGATAATACACACTAAAAGCTCTTCTGCTCAGTTATGGATGTATGACTCCCCCATGACATGCCTCACAGTGGTTTGATCCACTGCTTGTTGTTTCCTGACTCTAGTGCTGCATTCTGCAAATTTTGGCATTGATTCAATACTAACTAAATACAGGGCCAGTATTACCGATACCATTTAACCAATGAAAGCAGCTTATGTATTGAAGATGAGATGAAGTATCATCAATATACAAAGTCTGAACACACTTTAATGAAATCACTGTGATTTTTCCTTTCACCAAAACAATTCAGCTGTGTGCCTGTTTCTAAAGCACTTTGGATCGGTTTATGTTGGATCAGTTTATGTTGTTTAAATAAATAAAGTAGGCATGACGGCCAGCACAAAAAGTTTCAGGGATTTTTCACTATTGTTTTTCACACATTTCACTATTGGTTAGAAACAAAGTATCAATCCTATTGCTCTAGTATCGATTCAACACTAGTACCAGCATTGGTATCCATGGATACAAGTCTGGTCAAAGTTAAAATCACCATAACTCAGTGGATTTTCAAACAATTTTCAAGTGGTTTCGTTTGGCATTTTTTTCTGATTTCATTTGGTGTTTTCTCCTTTTCTGTGCTCTACACCACCCTTACTGGTTCTTGGGTCCCTCTGTGCCAAAACCATATAAAATTTCCTGGAAACGCCTCTGTATGTAACGGTCATTGTATTCAGTTATTAGACTTACAGCACGTTATTGGATGAGAAGATACCTCTATGATTATACTAATTAAATGGTTTTAAATATCACTTTAGAATAAATATACTTTATAATCAATAGAGAATATTTACAGTTTATAAAAGCATTTCATCAGAACTACAGTGAGTCACTTTATATACTGTTGAATCTGTTGACAATCAGAACTTGTAAACATGTTAACATTTTGTCAAAGTGAATATAATAAAAGTCAATAAAAAGCAAGGCACCACATTATTAACTGTAAAGAAATTTATTTAAAACCTTCTTTGACTCGTAGCCTTTGAAACAGAGAAAGCTGCTCAAATAGGCAGCAACACTGTCCCTTCCAGCTAAGGGTTAGGGTCTGTGAACGTAGATCCTGTTGCTCATGCATCAACATGTTGGAAATGACCTCCTGGCATCAGTTGAAAATATCAATGACTGCATAAATGATACATGATACAGATCATAGCAACAATGATGCAATGGTGTGTTTTAAAATGTGTTTCAGTGCATGGAGCAGTGGCTATGGAGGAAAAGGAACTGTCCCACATGCCGTGTCTACGTATCCATGCTAAAGCCCCTCTATTGGCCTTCTTGTCGCACCACCGTCCCATAATGGTCCTGCACCTACACTTGAAATGTCTGCATGTATATGTGACCCCAAGACCTCCTCCTCTCCATCTCCACGCCTCGTTCTTTCTGCATGAACACCCTCTGCAAAACTGTCTTCTGTCCCTGAAGGAAGCAGGAAATGAGAGTGAGGATATCTCATGTGAGAGACACGAGCTGTCATTGGACGGTGATTATTTATATAAGAGCGCTTGTAAATTAATGCACTATCAGGGGAGGATTAGTCTTTCTTGTTCTTATTTTGTTTTTGTCCAAAAATGATTCTAAACAATTTCTAATGACATGCAGTTAGGTGGAGCAAATATCCTCAAAACTGACAATATTTTTTGGTAATGAACCAAATAATCTGCCTGAATTCTGCTGAGTTTGTGGTTGAGGTTGAATATTTCCAAGTTCTGAAGTTGAACTTAGATATAAAATCACATCATGAAATTTAAACAAACAACTCATAAATTAGTCTTCTTACAGCAGGTAGCATATGAATGTGTGCATCAGTAGCAGTCGAATTTCAGGGCTCATAAGACCTCCCATCTGAGTTCCACTGAGCACATCTTTGGCAAGCTGTTTCCCCTCAGTTTAAAGCTTTTAAATGTTAAAAGTTTAATGCTAAGCTGACTAGTTTCTGACTTTGGTTTTATATTTAGCACAGAAATATGGGGAACGTAAATATTTTCCCAAAACCATTCATACACACAAATATTCTATATATTTTTTGACAACATTTGACTGACATCTTATAATAATCACAAGTTCCTGATATAGTTTTAATTAAAAATCTTGAAAACAGTCTTAAAAAAAGCTGAAAACTACAGAGAATCAGCTCTAAGACAGGTGACAAATTAAAGGAAAACCATCAAAACCAGTGACCCACGCACTGAAGGGGTCCAGTGGCTATGTTTTGGTGCACTGATTTGAGTCCAGACAGCGTCACTGTATAGCGATACAAACTTTGTCTGACTGGTTACTTTTATGCTACAATGAAAGATGCCACCTTCTACTCGACACAAGGGGTTACTGAATGCTTTTATTACTCAGAACATGATTTTAAGTTAAGCAGTGCTGTACACCATATGAGAGAATGTCTTTTGGAATGATAATGTTTCAGAGGCTTCAGTCGGTGCTAAGGTGCATTAGAATTGCTCTGTCAGCACATGGCAGCTCAATACCTTATTGAGAAGCATGAAGTTGATTTTCCTTCTTTGTCACCTGTCAGTATGGGTTTTTTGCATATTCTGCAGAAGGTGGTTGGTGTATTTCAGTCAATGCTGATTACCCAGTAGAGAAATTTCAACAGCTGCACTAGCAATAGCTCTGCTCTGCTATTTTGAAGGATTGAGCATGCACATTTATTTATTGCCTGCATTCACAATGCTTTCTCTTAAGTAACAAAACTCCTCCCCTGCATCAGTGTCATATCTTATCGTACATCTGCACCGTCTTCCTGCCTTACCCAATTAGCTTTTGTTTTGCATGTAAAGGTTTTTGCGTGTGACTTCTATTCGATCGTTTTCAAACATCTCTCTTGTGCCGTGTGTTTTGCACTTCCATGTGAGAAGTTTACAGTATGTACACAAAGTCCAACTAAAAAGAGCTGGCCTATGTATATATTTCAAATCAAATCAAATCAAATCACTTTTTATTGTCACATCACATGTGCAGGCACACTGGCACAGCACATGCGAGTGAAATTCTTGTGTGCGAGCCCCACAAGCAACAGAGATGTGCAAACACAACAACACAAACGAGCAAAATACAAGAATGGCCAACCTGAAACTAATAAATATATGTACAATATATAATAGTGTATTTAGCCATGTAAATATGCAGTTATATAAAGGATAGCTCTGTAGTTAATGAAAATTAGAATGCAATTTTAAAATGCTGCTATAGCAGTTCATTTAACCAGCAAATGCTCATAACTACCATTAGATTTATGCACAAAGACACAAAACCTTTGCACTCTGCAGAACAGTTAAAGGCTGTTGGGTTCAGTATGCTTACACCACGGAGGTTATGTGTTTAATTACATTTTCCAACCTTGTGCTTAAAAAGCTGAAGAACTTTTTATGACTCTCAGCAGCACCAACTTCCAGCTGCTGTGTTCACTGTTTCCATTTCACTGTTGTTGTTGTTTTTGCACTCTTGAATAAAAACACAATGAAATGAGTGAAACACCTGTTCTGTATCTCTTTGTTTATCTCTTGATCCCTTTTGTTGTTTCCTTATTCTATCCGCCTTACCCAGGTTAATGAAACAAGTAAAAACAAGTGTTCAGGTAGTTAGGTTTTTCTCCTCTGGTTATTTTCTGTTTTACTTTGAAGGGTTGTTTTCTGTCCATCTTTCCCTGACCCTTTGATTGTTGTAACCTTCTAAGTATGCTCGCCTGTGTCTCATCCTCCTCTGCCAGTTATCCCAAGTGTCAGTGTTGCTCCTTTCTGAGCTGCCTGCTTGATTCACCTGAGTTTACGATTTTGATCTTCACACTGAGCAACCAAATGTGACGCACAAAGTTTCTTATCTAATATGCCAAATATCTATATCTTGATGTTGCCTAGAAACCACCTAGTAAAATGAGTTTATTTCCTCTAACGTTATGCACCTACAACACTTCATAAATGCATCATATCATTTTAATCTCACAGCCACCAGCATGAAGAGGGTAAATAATAGTAAAGCAAGGCCATGTGCTTGTACAGAAAGTTTTTCTTAACTGTTGGTTAGCTGGATGTGTTAACCTTAATTACATATAATGTAATGGTAAAACCCAAGCTACAACATTAAAGTGCTATAATGAATAATTATGGCCCAGTACTATAATTGATAACTCTGCATAATAAGTTCTCTTCTTTCTTTCAAGGCCCCTGGTACTCCTACGGAAGAGGATTAGGGCCACTGGAAAAAAAAATCTGAGAAAAAAGTCAGAATTCTGACTTTTTTTCTCAGAATTCAGGAAAAGAAGAAGAAAAAAGACGTGCCCACTTTTTTTTTCAGTGGCCCTAATCCTCTTCCGTATACTCCCCTATGTCGCCCCACTGAAAAAAAAAATCTTGGAGACGCCCCTACGTGGCCAGTCGTTTCCTTCATGAACATTCACGACTTTCTACTTTTTTCCTCTATTGTAACTTAAACTGTGTGGACTGGTTGGAGACAATTAAGCGAGTAAAACGAGACTTGGTCAAGAAACCTCCTGCCTGAGGATGAGGAAGTCTTCCAGCTGTGGTGTACGTGCTGGAAATCTTGTCCCGGCCCAGCCAGGCCTGCCCTGGCACGACGGAAAGTAGCGGTTTTCCCAGAGTGAGGAGGGACCGAGCCGTGCACGAGCAGGCGGAGTGAAAGTGCACACGTGGACACCTGAGATTGACGTTACCTCCAACCAATGACCGCACAGACAGGTGACGCAAGCTCACACTCATCCAATGGGAGGGTTTGATAAGAGAAAAGCTCGAAGTGTTTAGAGTAGGGGAGGAAAAAAGGGTTGTGAAACGGATCTGGTCTGGATCCTGCTGGGATTCCGACTCGGAGAAGATGTTTACTTCTTGTGTCTAGGCTATAAGAGAGAGACCCATATTCTTTTCCAAAAGAAAAAAAAAATGATTTTATGCGATTGGGGGGCAAAGTGAAGATGCGTTAAAAAATTTCTTCCCCTTTTCTGTCTGAATACTTCCACTAACTTTTGATCTTCGGAGAAAAACAAACTTGGGTAAGAGACCCTCTCTTTTCCTCTCACAGTAAAGAAAATCAAGCCTACTGTGTCATGTGTAGATAAAATGTAAAGCCAGGTCAAGAAAGAAAGAAAGAAAGGAAGGAAGGAAGGAAGGAAGGGGGAAAAAGATTAGGAAGGTCTCCATCGAGAATTATGTACAAGACATCGGGTGGCCGTTTAGACAATGTTGCTGAGTGATTTCACGATTTAACTTCCACAACACTGTTTCATCTCCTGAAGCTAAAATAAACTACTTAAAAAAGAAAAAAAACTACTAAAAAAAAAAGAAAGTTCTGATTCTGTCAAACGACTGTTTCCATTTTTTTTCTTTTTCTTTTTGTAGACCTCAAGACATCACTGTCCTCAAAGTTTACGTTCAGGAGAGATAAATCAGAGTAATTTCACTTCAGATTGGCTTGGAAATTTAAACTTGCTAAAACGTTTAGTATAAACCCTTAGAGTGAAGTATCACATATTGTAGGTTCACAAATGTGATGCAGACTCTACTTATTCAGTAATGTCTATATTTAATTTTGGCTTGATCTAGAATATTGTTAATCTTACAGTGGATGAGACGGGATCAGTGGTGGTATGCACCATGCTACATTTACTCAAAAACTTACAGAAAAACCTACTTTATTGAAGTGTGCACCCTTTCTAATTAGCTCAGCTGAAGTTTTTTTTGTTTGCTTGTTTGTTTTTTGTTATATTTTTAATAGCAAAACTCAAACAGGAACACCCTTTGAAGACAGCTGCCTCCCAGACATCCCAGCCTCAAACATATGCACCAAAACCTCTTCATGCTCATAGTTTTGACCAATTCACAGAATAGAAATCATATTTGTACTTGTAGCGAACACTTTTACTACACCACTCCCACCATGTTGGTGTAATAAAAGCATACTTTATTTTATTTTACGTCGTTGTCATAAAAACGGTCTGGCGCAGATGACTAGTGTTTGTGGCTAAACTAAATCAGCCAAAACACTGAATCAGCCAAACACTGATGAATCCTCTAGTGGCTCTTGAGTGCCATGGAGACTGGAGTGTTTTCCTCAGTCTGGAGAGGCTGCACCCCCAAAAGACTGTCGGACACAGATGAGCTGGGTTTAACATCTCAATCGGTTTCTATTGAGTGTCCTCCTTCAAAGGTTTCCTCTGTTGCCGAGCAGAATATTGCCTGGTCATCTCCATCACAAAGGACAGTACAGCCATGTGCCTTTTTCTTATTCTCTGCCTGCTATTCATATCACTCCAGCTTTGCTCTCACTTTACAAAGTGCAGTCATTACCTAAGAGCACTGCAGTCAAACACTTTAAAAAGCTTTCTTTCTTTAATTAAATATGAAGCCTTATGAATTTATAGAAGTCGGAGACAATATCATTATGTTTACCATTCCAGTACCTCTGATCACATAAGTAACATTTTAAGTTAATATGATAAAATTGTTCCAAAGTCTTGTTTTAATGATAATATGAACTATGTTGGACTATATCAAGCTTGGTAAATGATGTAAATTGTTTCTCATTTTGACATGTTTCTCAATATAATGACGTATTGACTGCTTTTCATGCTTTTTCCTGCCTTTTGAAAAAGGAGAATATCAAATTCTGAGTTTTATTTTTTAGATAAGTCTGCAAGTTTTCCTATTAACCTTTTGTTTGACCTAGAAACATAATTTAACTTGACACAATAGACATAGTTTCCACGTCTGAAAAGGGAAATTATTGAGCCTGCATTCTTTCTAATAACCAGCAGGGGGTGGTGATTCTGTTTTCAAAAATATATTTTGGTGCATAATAGACTATTAAAATAATCTTGGTCTTTTTCACCCTTTGACCTCAGTAAAACCTTTACATATGGGTTATAAGCTCAGGCTCTAGTTTCAGCTCTTCTTGAATACAACAGGGTGTTCCTTTTGTAAATGATGGTCCCCGTTAGTCTTTCATTCAGTCTCTGATAATGACCAACTGAGATCGTGTGAGTGAAAGTAATTGTTAAGAAACTGGCCAGACAAAGACTTCAGCAGTCCACATAAGTCGGTGCAGGTTTAATGATATTTAGTCATTATCAAGAGGATCCTATACTCAGTGTTAGATGCTGCTGCAGTCTTTGCAAACAAAGTGCTTTTTCTGGAGTGCATGTTAAGAAATGGGTTTCTATTTTTGCATGTAAAGGTAAATGACTCGTGACACTCCTAACAGGCCTCCTCCCACAGCTAGACGCACTTCTGCTGAGCTCAGCTGGAGGACGGTCGCCAACACACACGCTAATTATGTTTGATTACGCTGTTTAACTAAATTATGGGCACTGTTGCACTTTTTTCCCTTTTCTTTTATCCACTTATTCCAGTTGTGCTAAAAATAGATCTTGTCTACTCTTCAGATGATAAGTTAGGTTAAATTATTGTTTGTTTCAAGTCATATCTGGCTGATTTAAATAAACATGTTAGTAGTGGGAAGAAGTGTTTTTGTAATATGTACTTCTAATTCCATGAAGTACCTAATCTGTTTCTCTAGGTGTTGAGAGGTATCATGGGCAGCTTCAGAGGCCACGCTCTCCCTGGGACCTTCTTCCTTGTTGCCGGGATTTGGTGGACGGTAAAGTACTCGATTTGGCATGCCACGCGCAGGAACAAGGGTATTGGTTCTACTCGTCTGGCTAGCAGAGCCTCACAGCGACGGCTGGAGATCATTGAGAGCTCAGTCATACTCTTTTTCTCCCTTGTTGGTAAGCGTGTCCAAAAAGCTTCTTAATGCATCCATATATCAGATATAACTAGCAAGACTCTTCTCGAGTAAATCCAAGACAAATCAGGGCTTTAATTAAGGAGATGTGCGTGTTTCCTCTGATGTGGTGCTTTCAGGGATGTTGGCAGAACAGTTTGGATCGGGTGGACCGAAGCTTCAGTTGTACAACTTCGTAGAGAAACACTGGGACCATCTGCACAGCTGGCACCACGCCACCATGTACTTGTTCTTTGGGCTCTTTGCAACAGTGTCTCTGATTATCCACACCACAGAAGCGGCACCACTGTCACTGGATCGGTTAATGCTGGCAATTGCTTTCTTTAATGAAGGTAAGAAGAATAAAATGTAATCATTGTCTTTGAGCTCCTTTGATATCCTTTTTATTTCAAGCCAGTGCTTCAGGGCAGATCGCTTACTAATAAGTTAATCAGTTTAATCCTTGGTTCCTTCAAAGTCTAAACAATACTATTCTCGAAGATAGTCTTACATCTAAAACACAAAAAAATCCTCCATTAGTGTTTGGCCAAGCTTTATATTGAGGGGTTTATGAATGTGCGCCATTATATCCACCTTTATTATCCATCGCTGTAATTGTAGATGGACTGTTTTCACTGCTTCTGCCGTATGTTCCCATACAACAGACCAACTTTCATACTCTGATCTTTTTTTTTAAAATTCAGGTTTTTATTTACAACTTGTTGCCTGTCTGTACATTTTCCAATAAACTTGTATAAATACATTTCTTGTTAATCAAATTGAGTTCCTTCCATTCAAAGGTCATTTTAAGTGTACCCTGTGGGGTTAATTAAGCCTAATTTAAACCAAGCACAGATAGGACTTTCTGCATTTTTACAGCATTTTGAGTCAATTATTTTCGCACTGTTTGAATTTAAGACAATCTGTGGCGATGGCTTGGGATAAATATTTGAAGTTTAGATGCAGTTTAACTGATCAAGACAAACACATTTACCTACATTACCAGCTTTTTGTTCTCTGCAGGATTTCTTTTTCTCTACCACCTCCATGGCAGGAGCATGCTGGATGTCCACGTGCATCTGCTCCTTCTGTACGCGGTCTTTGGAGAGACTCTTGTTGCCTTCCTGGAGATCTTTCACCGAGGCAACATCATTCTGGAGCTGCTGCGGTGCACGCTAACGGTGGTTCAGGGGACCTGGTTCTGGGAGGTAAATCTGAATGTGGCTTTATGAGCAGATGTTTATGTTTGCTGATTTATAGTTACTCCCAATGTTTTCTCCTCTAAACCACAGGTTGGTTTTGTGCTGTACCCGCCCCGCGGCCCCGAGTGGGACTTGAAAGATCCCAACAATATGATGTTCATTACCATGTGTTACTCCTGGCACCTCGCCTTCGCCATGCTTATAGTGAGCGTGCTCTATTGCATCGTCAGCTGGTAAGAACCTGCTCCACAAAAGACAATCCAATAAGACATCCCATTGTGATTTAGATATATTCAAAGAATTGGAAATGCATTTTTTTTGTCTTATTTAGCACATAAGGCTTTAAATTGGCCATAGGTGCAGATATAACCAGATACAAGGAGAACAAACCTCTGATTCATATTTAATCAAATTTGGTTTTTGCCACTATTTCACCATAAAATCCAAGAGAGAAAATGTGTAATAAATGTGTTTTTGCTGCTCAAGAATGTAGATTTAAAAAACAGTGTTCCCTCGTTTATCGCAGGTGTTATGTTCTAAAAATAACCCACGAAAGGTGAAATCCGCGAAGTAGGGAACTTTATTTTTTACAATTATTATAGATGTTTTAAGGCTGTAAAAAAACCCTCACTACACACTTTATACACTTTTCTCAGACAGGCATCGACATTTTGACGCGCTTCTCTCTTGTTTAAACACTCTCAAAGTTCAAACCTTCGTAGAAAAATAAGTCCAGTATTATAGAATGAAACCAAAGATCAAACCCTGTTTTCAAGTCCAGAACATGTGAATAGAGCAGCTGCGAGACAATTCAACATTAATGAATTAATGATACGGAAGTAGAGGAAGCAAGAAGAAGGAATTGAGTGAAGTTTTACTCATCTGACTGTTTGGTTTACTTAATGCTCCTTATAATCCTTTGACGTAGACACTGTTGTGTTTGTTGTCTTCTGCTAGCGAAGATTTATGTAGATTTGACAGGCTGAGCGAATTCTGTACTGTATAAAAGACACAGCACGAGATTGATTGAAAATGGTCTATAGCCGATCAGGACGCAGAACACATTGCGCTGTTTAAAAAAATAAATAAATGAAAAATTGCACCCCCGAAAAAATCTGCAAAACAGCGAGGCCGCGAAAAGTGAACCGCAATATAGCGAGGGACCACTGTAACACATCAATTAAAAAAAACAAACAAAAAGAAAACCTTTGGATTTCAAAAGTTATACATTTAATTTTAGTTCCAATCATTAGCCCTAGTGCATACCTATAGGGACAAAAATGTACTGTATTTTTCTATATCTGATAGACACTTGTTTATTTATCCTGGAGACCTGCACAGTTTACAATATGTGTGATTCTCGTGTTTGTTGTTATTTTCCTCTTGAAGTGCGGTTCGCTCCAGACTGAAGAAGACTCCTCCAGTGGAAATGGGACTTCTGAAGGCAAGAGAGCGAGATCCAGAGTCTGAGGATGAGCTTATGTGAGGAAGACTGTTGTGCATCTACGTTGTGGCTCATGAACATTATAGAACAATCAGGGATAAAACGCTCAAATTTCCAGGAGCAGAATAAGAAGCAAGGCACACAGATGTGGAAACTGATGTGGATACGGAACCTTAACCTTAGAAATGCGTCTCTACCTCTGCCTTAATTAACCAGCTGTACAACATTTTAAACGTACTTTTGTTATTACCTCCTCCAGAGAAGCTTTATGATTTGTTCAGTTTATTTTTCAGCAGGATTACTGGACAGAACTCTTGTGGCTTGGCAAAATTTGTGACTGTATATATAAACTATAAAAATATGTGCATCGCCACCTGGATCCAGAAGGTTTTGAATCATTTACCATTGCAAGAGAACAAGACTGGATGTTTCACAACATCACAGCTACAAAATACAGTTTTAATAATAAATATCAAAAGATAACATCTTTTGTGAAAATATAAATTAATCTGGATGCAGAGAGTCGGTTCATGCAAGGTGCGGAGGGGATTACCTACCTTAGTGGAGGTATGCAGTCACAAGCTGCTCTTATTTATTTTACAGCAATATAATTTTCATATACTCTGTCATATCTTTGTTACTACTTTGCGCATTCAATATAAATGAAAAGCTTTTAATGGATTTCATGCTTTACTTTTGACTTGCTAAACTTCTTCCACAGTTTGGTATTCAGTAGTGCTATTTTGTGGTGAAAACGTCACTGCATCATCATGTGTATTACTTGAAAGCACTAGTTGTACATTTTATATTGTTTCATGTTAGCAAGTGACTCAAACCAAGTGTCAAACTATAAAAAGAAAAATAAAATTGTTCAAACAGTAAATTTTTTTTAATTTTATTTAATTCCTATCATTTCCTTCACACCTTGCATAACATTATAGCTAGTATGTAAGTGTTTACAATGTGCTACTCAATACAGAATTTATGGTAGCCTCTATGATCAAATTTAACTTTTTTATATGTTTTAAAGTTGGTTCTCTTTATTCATGTATCCATAATCACCATCATCTATCAGTGGCTCTCAGACAGGGTCATTGAAATGATCAATTAATTTGCGACAAATTATTATAAAGGTGACAGCAAAGGATGTGGTTTCTACCAATAAAGGGAAGTCTAATAGTTCAAATACTAAGACTACTACTAGCCCTAAAATGCCTGAGAACCCCTGATTTTTAGAACACAATCACATTAATACCAAATGATCAGTCCTAATAAAGTGCTTGTGCAGATTTATTTTTGTCAGGGCAGGGCAACACAAAACATCTGTTGACAAGAGGGATAAACAAAGATGTTCTGTTTTGACAAGATTAAACACTCGGTCTTGAAAAAAGTGGGCCTCTGTGTGACAGTCTTTGCACATTTAATGGAGGTATGATAAGCAGTTCGGTTAAAATACTACGAAAAACGCAAAAGGTGCTTTATTTGATTATTTCTATCAATTCATTCAGAAATGCAAGAGAGGTGTAACAATTTATTTCTACCACTAACTAGTAGAAATAAATTGTTTTAAGCCCAGCTTTACAAAGTAAAGAAGTGAATTATATACGATGGACCAAACCACTTTGTTTTGATTCCCCGGGGAATCAAAACAATTATTTAACTTGTATAGTTATTTTTACAGTTTTAAGAGAAAACTTGTTATCTCCGAAAAAAATAAATAAAAGTGGTGTCTGGACCCTCTTGTTCACTCATGGCTGTACTGGGTGGTGCGTTTAAATTTTTCTAACACTGAGTCACGTCTGGGAAAAAAAGATCAGAGTGAGACGTCTTTGCTGCTGTTCCGGTTCAGGTGTGACGATGAAGTGACCCACCTGGCCAGGTAAGGTACTGGCAGCTCATCCGGCTCTCCCTCTGCTGGCATGTGACGCTGTTGTCCATTCACACAGATCTGAGAAAACCCGGCAAAGTTCCTATCAGTTCAGGAAACAACTATAATTCTTCACCAATTAAGCCGAATTTTAAAGCTCCTCGGGCATGGATAAATTAAAGTCGGTTCTGAGCGGTGAGGAGGCGCGCAGAGATGACCGGAACATTATACAGGTAAAGCCTTAATCCCATCTTTCACTGTTGTGGCTAGTAATCTCAGCTGGATCATTAATCGATCGTTTATTCAATCTCTACTAATGCAGCAAATGAACCAAGCTTCGACTTTAGGCTGGGGCACACGTATAAAGGGATTCATCGCCTGCTTCGTGGTGGGAGCTGCATGCACAGTTCTGGTAAGAATTTAATTTCTGTGTTTTTTGTTTTTGTTTTTTCTACGACAATATTCAGTCGCTCTCCACAACGAGGAAGAGCTCAGAGAAAGCTGGTGTTGCCCTACTGGTTCTTCTTGCTCTGAGGAATGCTGAAGATGTGATGCTCTTTCATTTGGCGACACTGCCTAGTCCCTCCTTAAAGTGAGGCTTATAAAACATGACGTGTGATCCACCTGCATTCACGTGTGTCTTGCAGGGAGTGTGTGTGCTCTTCCTCCCCAAGATTGGGATCACTCTCTTTATTGTCTTTTACACATTTGGCAACATATGTGCTCTGTGCAGGTTAGTGATGAAAAAATACCTTGAAATGGGAAGCTTATTTTGCATGTTTTACACACTTAATACATGCTTTTCTTTCTTGCACATTTCACTGTGTCCAATAGCACAATGTTTCTGATGGGCCCAATGAAGCAGCTGAAAAGGATGTGTGACAAAACAAGAGCGCTGGCTACTACCCTTATGTTGGTAAGTGCAAAAAATAAAAATAAAAAAATCAACCCCCAAAAGACAGAACATGTTACACAAACATGAGTGGACTGAGTTCAGTAAATTTAGATTCATTGCAAAAAAAATTCTGTTTTCCTTAAGAGTTCAAGAGCTGGTTAAAGGTGAAAGGATTGCATAACACAGCTTTCTGCTTAGAGGATTGCATGACAACACCAAGCTAGAGTTCATAAAACTTGGTTGTGGATGGACTGACAAAAATCAGACCCTGATGTGCAAACGTCTCTCTTTAAAACTACAATATTTGCTGTGATGGAAGATTTGCTCTCAGAATGTCCCACAGCAGGTGCAATTAGGTTACCATCCTCTTTCTTTCAGTGCTCAGTATGCAAATATTTAAACTACATGTAGGTAAATAATTAAATCAGACACTAATGTGACACCTGTGTTGTAGATCTGAAGATTTTCTCAGCTTTAATGTGGTTATGAGCATGGCCATGTCGCCTATGTAATGCCCAAGCATCATACTTTGCAGTTCTGACATATACAACTGGAAGCAAGGGTATTATAGTTAACTAACAGGCCCTAAGAGATGTTAGTGCAAGTGAGGGAGGTCATCACTGGCCTGAAACAAAACAACATCAGATAGAAACCAAAAACTTTAGGGATAGCCAAATGAGCAAACTGGTAGAGTCATAAAAAGAAGGAATGCACTGACTCGCTCAGCAAAACCAAAAAGCCTAAGGGAAGACCACAGAAAATATAAGACAGATGAAACCAGGATGACCTTGTACCAGAATGAATGGAAAGGAAAAGAAGGAGAGAAACTGCTCATGATCTGAAGTGTACCACATTATCTGTAAAACATGATGGAGGCATTGTTATTGCATGGGCATGTATGGCTGCTAGTGCAACTTGGTTACTGGTGTTTATTGATGATGTGACTGTTGATAGAAGTTGCGGGATGACCTGTGAAGTGTGCAGGGGTATAAACTGACCAGACTGCACTTCACAGTGCAAATAGACCCAAAGCAAACTGCACACTAACCCAACAGTTTCTCAGGAAAAGAAATGAGAAAATCAATAGAGCATGCTTTTCAGTTATTAACTACATAACTGAATGCAGAAAGACTCACAAACTAGGAGTAAATAAAGGCAGCAGAAGTAAAGGTCTAGCACAGCAAGACATTTGGTAATATCCATGGTTTCTAGACTTTAAGCAGTCAATGATTTTTATCAAAGTATTAAACAATCCTTATATTTACAACTATGTTAGTTTGTACAGTTAATGTGAGAGCCTAAAAATGAGGGTCTGTGTCCAAAAAATAGCTGTACTTCAAAAACAGTTTACACAGACTTTTGTTAAAACCCTTCAAATTAAAGCTAAAAGTCTCTCTGTCATTGCTTTAGACTTGTCTCGTTCTGACTCTCTGTGCGGCTTTCTGGGTGAGTGAGCCTCCAAAAAATACTTATGATCACTTCTAACTTTATCTGTTTATCTGTTGGATTAATGTCAGTGTTTGATCCCAATCTCTCTCTTTTTTTCTCACAGTGGAAGAACTTTGGACTTGCTTTGTTGTTTGTTATCTTGCAAGTCTTGTCATTTACCTGGTGAGTCTCTACATATCTAATTAATTTTTTTTTTCAGTCTTAAATTGTTTTTTGTTACATAAAATGTGTGTGTTTTCAGGTACAGCTTGTCATACATCCCATGTGTGAGGTTTGTAGATTTTGCTCCATTTATTCAAATCTTCTGTATAAATAATCAGAAAAAAGTGGTGTTCAAAGCCTAAATGTCTGGTTTATGTTCTTTACCTTCCAGAGAAGCAATCATGAGGATGCTGGCCATGTGCATGAAATAGGCCATGTGTGTTTGCGGTGAAGGTTCAGCTTGGATGAAGTGTTGAAGAATGGGGCAGGTCTCTTACTGAAGTTGCTAAAATTGGCTCCTTTAGAGAGTCTCTGGCCCTTCCTGCTGCTCAGACATTTGTTTATAGGTGAAAAAGAAGCAAATTTTCTATTTATCTTTCTCAGTTGTGCTTCATTGATTGATTGATTAATTTTTGGTGACCACTCAAATTTAACCAGTTTATAATGATTGTAGACTTTGTTTGTAATATGTGTAAATATCTGTAATAAATCAGTATTTTAAACTTTTTAAATTTGTTGTTGTTGATTTTTGTTTTCATCTTGCTCAGAAAAAATCTATTTTTATTAAAAGTTCTTATGGTCTTAAATTGTGTTGGTATTTGAATGTGAAGCTCAAATAGTTAATCAGGGTATGAACAGGTCCTGTTAATATTATAATATGCAAAATGTATTTTTTTTAAATGGTGAATTTTTAGTTATCAGGAATTATCTCTCATTTAGTATAAGTTTATATTTTTGGTTCTTGTTTCTGTTTTCAGAACTAAACTGTCAGAAAATCTGTTTCACGTTAAAACTCGAAGCACTTATTTTTACATCTATTTGTGGAGCTTTTAAGACCTTTTCTTATTATTTTGTTTCTAGGGAGCCTTTTTTGTAAAGTCTTTTTGTTGGACATTGGCTTCCTTTTCGCTCATTTTCAGTCCAGTCCTCGAACCCGTCCATTTAAAGAGGAATGTCTTTTGTTTTCTGAGGTCATGAGTAATTCAAGCATAAAAAAGACCCCGGGCTTCAGAGATTAACCAGTGTGACTTCTAGCAAAGAAAGCACCATTAAATTTTATTATCAGGCACTTAGTTACTAGCGACCTGTCACAAAAAGCCAAAGTTTGTAAAATGTGCAAATTCTTAATCGTTTCTAGAATTTAAAAACAGTTTTCCCCTTATATTCTGTAGTTGCATTTATGTTTGCATATATTTCCCGTTTTCCTAGCAAAATATAAAGAAATGAGCGTTGCTCAAGAAAGAAAACAAACTTTTGGCGAAGTTTAAAAAACCGCGCGCCTTTCCGTAGCGTCACGTGACCCAGTCAGGAAGCATAAACTGCATGAAAACAACAGTGGGAACTCGCATGTCTGTACATGTCTCCGATAAAGTCGTCTTTCGTATAAATTGCAGTCCTGCCGGTCAGCAAACATGTCGGACATTTTGGTGAGAATAAAAAACAGCATCGCGGAGAAAAAGAAGGCGGATGTTGCTCAAAGTGACCTGAAGAAATGGGGATTGAGAGGTAGAAAGGCTATTTTTAACCTGGACGACTGACCTGCAAAGTACATACAAACTTCAGGCTGTCTTCACTCATTCACAGTGACATGGCGTTTTCTGTGGATACAAACTAAACGCACTTAGAGCAGATTAATACACTTTCAGCGCCGTCCTACATGTAATTTTCAGAGATTATATTAAACGTGCTCCAGCGGTGATGATCTTTCTCCTCACAGGGATACAGCTGAGACCCTACCAGCTGGACGGGGTGCACTGGTTAACTCAGTGCCTGAAGAACCAGCAGGGATGCATCTTAGGAGACGAGATGGGCTTGGGTAAAACCTGCCAGGTATGACATCATCTGTTTACCTGTAATCCAGAGCCCTGGCATGGCTGGACAGTTTTTATATAGGCGGTGAGGCTTGGAGCATCTGTTACACTGGGGGTGCCCAGAAGTTGATTCTAAAAAGCCTCAGTGCCATGTGACATATCAATTGTGCCTTTCGTTATATTTTTTATAGCACTTTTCTGTCACTTGGACCTAACGTGACATTTGTATAATTACTATAATTACATTTATTTTAATGCAGTTTTTCTACTCCATAGGCTTACACCTTTATAACATTAGCATACACTGGATCAGAGCCAGTGCTCTTCAAAGTTAAGCAATGTTTCTCTGAAGAGAGATTCTTGGTTTCCAAGTGGCTTGTTAGACAAATTACACACTTTGCTTCAATTGAATGAGAAGTTTTCCCCTTATGTGTCACACACTCATGAATCTGACCATTTGGGGGCTGCTTTATATATGGCTTATTATTTACATGTTCTAACGGTGTCCTGGTCATCATGTATCCCTTCAGACAATCTCTCTGCTGGTGTACATGTCAGGGGCTCTCAGGAAGAAAGGACCATTTCTGGTGCTGAGCCCACTCTCTGTCCTGGAGAACTGGAGGAATGAGTTGGAAAGGTGGAGCTACATTAATCAGTAATTGCATTTCATTTGATAATGTGCTTTTAGCGCTGTCTGTAAACCTGTGTGTGCCTCGCTTTCAGCTTCGCTCCCTCACTGACGGTCCTGGTTTACAAAGGAGACAAAGAAAGGCGGACAGAGATCCAGCAGGAGGCGAACTCTCAGGACTTCCATGTTCTTCTCACTACATATGAGGTCGGAGGCTATTAAGTGAAAACAAAACAGGATAAGGTTTCACCTTTGTTAAAACTGATATATATATATATATTTTTTTTACCTGTTATTTCCAGCTGTGTCTCAAAGATGCTTCATTCTTGAAACGGTGAGTTTGTACTTATTCTTGATCTACATAAACTACTCTGGAAGCAATGTACTGTGAGGAAAATTTAACTGTGGGGTCCTAATACAAGTTTATATAGTTTTAAGCAAGAGGTGACAGAAAAAAGGACCAGTACCAACAGAGATATTGCTTTTAGGTCGCTCTGTGTCGGCTCTTCCCGGCCTTCACCCAGTAAGATCGGCTTAAACTGTAGTTATCTAGGTTAGCGACCTGTATGCCTGAGATGATCATGTTATTCTAGCCACACTACAAAACCAAGACTAGAAAAAACTGTCACAAACAAAGCTTTAATATTAGTCTGAAGCCTGTGTGTCTGTAGTAATCTACAGAGATTATTAGAGAGGGGTCATTCTTTTAAACGTGAGCCATTTTTAATATAAGCAATCCACCTTTGTATCAAATTATATGTGACAGAAGAAAAGGAAGAGAATAATGGTCTTTAAAGGTTTGTTCACTGAGAACAAAGTTTTCATGTGCTGATATTTCCCTGATCTCTTCCTCAGGTGGAAGTGGAAGGTGCTTGTGGTTGATGAAGCTCACAGGTTGAAGAATCAAAACTCGCTGTTGCACAAAACTTTGACAGAGGTACTAAGCAACACCTGGTTTGGGCAGATTTCTTCATTGTCTTTCCCTTGACCTCTTAAATCAGTTTGTTTGTGTTCTTCTCTTGTAGTTTTTCGTGGGATTCAGAGTCTTGCTGACAGGGACTCCCATTCAGAACAACCTGCAGGAGCTCTACTCCCTGCTGAGCTTCATCCAGCCCAATATCTTTATACCAGAAGACACAGACAGCTTTGTCAACTCTTACTCTGATGTACAAAGTCAGCCTGCGTTGGGTACGATACATAATTATAGCATAACAAAGCATAGCTTACATTCAGTGTTATTTCTGAGTCCATGCGTCTCTCCATATCCAAATAAATGTTTTGAAATATAATGGGTGAATATTGGTCACGAAAAAGTGGAGTACAGTAATGCACTGTAGGAACGCTAACCATGAATCTTATTACTTTTATAGCTGCTGAGCTCCAAAGCATCCTGGAGCCCTTCCTGCTCCGTAGAGTCAAGTCTCAGGTGGCCGTCGATCTGCCCAAGAAAACCGAGCTGGTGGTTTATCACGGCATGTCCGCTCTGCAGAAGAAATACTACAAAGCTGTTCTGATGAAGGATCTGGGTGAGACTTGGGCGCTATGGTGTGCTGTGTCATTTATAAATGCATTTTCTCTGCAGTACTTACCCTGCCTCTTTACTTATAGCATTAGCAAGAAAGCACCAGCTCAGCTTATCACTGATTTTTACAGTTGGCATAACAGACACTAAATCCTGACTTCTCTCTATCAGTTCTCTCTATTTTAGAGTTGGTTTTAAGGTTTTACTCATCACCTTAAAGAACTTCTGGGTCTGGTCTCCAGCTGTGTAGGAGAAATGTGCTATTTTTTTGTCTGTTCCAAAGTCGATGAATAAACCTGAAGGTGATCAAGGCACGAATATTCTGAGCTCTCATGGTTGCTTCATAGCTTTTATTATTAGTTTACTAGTTTTACTAGGGATGTTCCTGGCAACTAATTTCTCAGTCAACTAAACGAGGAACAAAAATGAGACTAACCAACTAGTCTACATCTAAGAAACACTCGGGTGTTAAGTTACATTTGAGAACCACCAAAAACTCATAACAAAGGCATTTTGTTATGTCCTTATGTCCTTGTTTCATGTCTTATAACTTTACACTGATTTTGTTGTTGTTTGATTTTGGCTTTTTCCACTTTGTAGGCTGTTTTTAAAGGTGCCAAGTGGAAATAATAGTTCTAATAGTATCTGTTTAGTGGCATCAGTCATTTGTAAATTCAATCTGCTTCTAAAACTCTTCTTTCAGAGGCTTTTGGAAATGACCAAGGCAGCAAAACTCGGTTGCTGAACATCTTGATGAACCTGAGGAAGTGTGTTGACCACCCTTATCTGTTTGACGGTGAGAGGTGCAGAGTGATGATGTAAAAAAGACTGGCTTTAGTTCTCTCTGCTACAGGAAAGACCTGAGGCGTAGGTGTGTTTTCAGTGGGACAGGATAAAGCCGCTTCCATTACATTCTATGTTTGTGTGTCTGTTTCTTGGATAGGAGTTGAGCCAGAGCCATTTGAGATGGGGGAACATCTCATTGAAGCCAGTGGAAAACTTTGTCTTTTGGACAGCATGCTGACATTCCTCCACAAAGGGTTTGCTGATGTGTTATTTGGCTCCACCTGGTGGTTTAGTGCGGCATTGCTGTAATGCTGTGATATTCTAAGTCACATATTCGTCTTTAAATTGAGTCTTACAATATTTGTGTTTTCATATCTGTGGTTGAAGGGGCCATCGGATCCTGCTGTTCTCTCAGATGACGAGGATGCTTGATATTCTCCAGGACTACATGGAGTACAGAGGTGAGTGAGAGTGAACATGAGGGGTTATTGTTCATTGACTTACTATTAATTGTTCTTAATGGCATGAATTAATTAGTAATTATTCTCATTCTTCATAATGGCAAACTTGAAAACCATTTGATTTATTCTTAGTTATAAATAAATGCTGAATTCAGCTTTTCTGTTCAGGTTACAGCTACGAACGTCTGGATGGGTCAGTCCGAGGGGAGGAACGAAACCTAGCAGTGAAAAACTTCAGTAGCAAAGATGTCTTCGTCTTTC